GAGGATGAACAGTGGGAGGATGAACAGTGGGAGGATGAACAGTGAGAGGATGAACAGTGAGAGGATGAACAGTGGGAGGATGAACAGTGGGAGGATGAACAGTGGGAGGATGAACTGAGACAGTTTCTGTGAGTTTCATTTTGTTTCTGCCGACTGTGACTGAGGGGAGTTTGATGATGGTAAAATGACTGATTATTTAAATGGAGTCTGGTGAAGGTGGTGTCAGGGCTTCAGAAGGTTCTGTCCTCTGTCCTGGTCTCTGTCCTGGACTCACAGTCTGTCCTGGTCTCTGTCCTGGACTCACAGTCTGTCCTGGTCTCTGTCCTCAGGGGGTCCAGGGACTCTTCAGAGGGCGGCTCAGCAGCTGATGGGGGGACGAAGGACACGTCTCGTTGGCCGGAGCAGGACTGCATGCAGCTGAATCCGTCCATTCGAGGCATTGCCATCAACTCTCTGCTAGCCATCGACATCAGTCTGTCCAAGCGTCTCGGTGTCTGCGTGGGGACACATGGGACAGGGGCCCCGCTGCGCTCCATGGTGACCCTGCTGGCCCTCACTGGACACGCCCTTCCCTGGCTCTGTGGGACGCTGGTCTGTCTGTGGAGGAGCAACACGCTGGCTGGACAGGAAGTCCTTGTCAACCTGCTGCTAGGTGAGACATTCACTCTGCTGTCCAACATGTCTCTGTCTGTCTCTCTGCTGTCCAACATGTCTCTGTCTCCTGCAGCTCTGATCCTGGACCTGATGACGGTCGCTGGCGTGCAGAAGTTGGTCAAACGCCGAGGACCATGGGACTTCCCTCCAGGGTTTCTGGACTACGTAGCCATGGATCTGTACTCCTTCCCAGCAGCCCACGCTAGCCGAGCTGTCATGGTGTCCAAGTTCCTCCTGAACCACCTGGTGCTGGCGGTCAGTTGCTGTATCGTTATTGTCTGTTTATTGTTTATTTGTTGTTGTTGCTGGGACACTGTGGTGTCTCCGTCAGTCCAGGACCCTAGTGTGTTGGGTCTCTTCAGACTCATCTCAGTGTGGTGACTCAGTCTTCCTGTCCTCCAGGTGCCCCTCAGGATCCTGCTCTACATGTGGGCCGTCCTGGTGGGCGTGTCCCGGGTGCTGCTGGGTAAACATCACCTGTCGGACGTCGGCTGTGGATTTGCTCTCGGCTTCCTGCACTTCAGTCTGGTGGAGTCCATGTGGCTCGACTCCGCCACCTGCCAGACCCTCATCTCCATCGGCACGCTGCGCTGGACTCCACTGGTCTGAACCGGCCTGGACTGGTCCAGTATCCATCAGACGCTCACCTGTAACACACTGAACACATCTGTCTGTCCTGGTTTGGACGGCTCTGTCTGGACCTGATGATCTGCTCTGATGACACATGCTGGACGCTCCCTGTCTGGATCAGTTTTGACCAGTTTGGACTGGTCTTGCTGGATTCTGCTACCTGCCGGACTCTTGAGACTGAAGCCACTCCGTGTTTTGACACCGTCACGCTTCCTGTTTAGCTCCACCTGGTGGACGGTAGCTGTGGCAGCTCGTTGTAGGGGGTCAGGACCTGGACCTGTCTGAGCAGCAGAAATCTTAAAGCTTTTCAAACTGTGTGTGTGTGTGTGTGTTTTCACAGCTTTTTATTCTGATGCAGTCGTCATGACAACACAATGACACCTCAGTGACGTTTGAAATCAAAAACAAAATCTTAACTCAAGGCCTACTGACAAGGTTGTTTTTCCAGAGCTTTCATCAGCAGCTCACAGTCTTCATCAGTCAACTTTACTCCAAAGCTAACTGATGATTAGCTTTTTTTCCCATAGATTTAGCGCCCCACTGTTGTACGTATCCTCGAACCCAACATGTTGCAGTTACAGTTTACATCCATGTCTGTGAAAACATGGACGCTTCACACACATCTTCCCTCAACAGCACTAATCAGTTTATTCTTCAGTCCATGTGGATGTTTGTGCCAAATTTAAAGAAATTCCCTCCAGGCATTCTTGAGATAACAGGAGTGGGAAGGACAACCCAAAAATGTAATGCCTCCAGCTTCTGAGAACGCAGACACATAAACACTCAGTAACTTTCGAAAAGAACAATTATGATTTTTTTTGTTTTGTTTTCATAAACAAATAAAAACTAAATGATGGTGTGAAAGGTGGCAAAGTTCATTTTTGACCTGTCGCACTAAAGAGCGAAACAAATGGTGGCTAACGTTAGCTTAATTAGCTAACTGGGGGGCAGTAGCTCAGTCCATAGGGACTTGGGTTGGGAACCGGAGGGTCGCCAGTTCAAGTCCCCATCCGGACCCAAATATGGAGCGCGGACTGGTAGCTGGAGAGGTGCCAGTTCACCTCCTGGGCACTGCCGAGTGAGCAAGGCACCGAACCCCCAACCGCTCGGAGCGTCTGTCATGGGCAGCCCCCTCACTCTGACATCTCTCCACTTAGTGCATGTATAGGTCCAGTTTGTGCATGTGTGTGTTCAGACCTGTGTGTAACTGACAACAGAGTGAATAAAGTGAATTTCTCCTTAGGGGATTAATAAAGTATATTTAAAAAATAATTTTAAAAAATTACGGTAGCTTAATTAACTAACATTATCGGATCTTAAAGATGATAAAACTGACTTATGAATCAAAATCTCACAGACGATTCAACCAGAAGCAGAAATGAAACAGAACAACTTATAAAAACATGCAGACAGCACCACATTTATAAAGAGATAAGCTAAGAGACAAGCTAACGAAAGTAACTAATTGAGATAAGCTAACAGAGAGAAGCTAACAGAGGTAAACTAATGAAGGTAAACAGAGATAAACTAACTGAGGTAAGCTAACAAAGGTAAGGTAATTGAGATAGGCTAACAGACTTAAACTAACACAGGGAAGCTAATGGAGATAAGCTAACTTAGGTAAGCTAACGGAGGACAGCTTATAGAGAAGAGCTAATGGAGATAAGCTAATAAGGTAACTGAGATAAGCTAATAGATTTAAACTAACTGACGTAAGCTAACGGAGGTAAGCTAATAGAGAAAAGCTAATGGAGGTAAGCTAACAAAGGTAAGGTAATTGAGAAAAGCTAACGTAATTAAAGTAAGGGAGGGAAGCTAATGGAGATAAACTTAGAGGAACATCGTACATCGACACAACTTTCCAGGACTTGATTCATACGTAAATGTTTTTAAAAACAGATACCCTGCGTGTTCCACGTCTGGTGTTACTGCTGATTATCAAACCATGATCAATCAATATTATTTCATCAGTTTCAAACTGAATTTAGTTTAAAAACTTTGTCTTGTTTCGTTCAGTGAAAAAGTCAGACCCTCAGGGAGCATCCTGACAGAACTTAAACAGCTGACGTGTTTCAGATCCACCTGGTCAGACATCAGTATGATGACAGACAGACTGATGGGCGCTCAGGTGACATCACTCAGGACATTAAATCAAACCTAACACAGAAGTGTTAGACCCTTTTTTCCCATGTGAGACGCTGTTGCTGATGGACACCACAGAAGAAGAAACTTTAGATTTAGACTTTGTTTTGTTTCATTAAATAAAAAAATTTAAGAGTTTTAGACATTTATCATTTCCTGTTACAAAAACAGCTGGAGTCTGAACATCAGCTGATCACCTGCAACATGACGTCACACACACACACACACTCTGGTACTTATGTCTTTGTGAGGACACACACACACACACACACACACACACACACACACACACACACACACACAGCTCGTAGTCAAAAATCTTTATTTACAAATAACTGAAAAAAATCCTTCAAACATGATCAATCATGTCTTTTCTCAGTCGGCTGATTGAAGCTTCTGATGATGATGATGATGATGAAGAACTGCTGTTTGTTTGTTCCAACAGGACAGAGAGTCAGTGAACGCTGCAGGGCCACAAACACACACACACACACACACACACACACACACACACACACACTATAGCAACCAATGAATCCGAGGACAGTGGGCGTGTCCCAGCTTCATCCTAAAAACACTTCTTAAAGGAAGATTTCGCCGCTAACGTGATCGTCTGTACGTCAAACATGTGTGACGGTAAAACAGGAAGGAGAGTTTGATTCTCTGTCACGTCTCTGCTGAACCAAGGATCCAAAAACAGGAAATTCTAGATGAACTGAAGTAAACAGGGTCCACACATCTGTTGACAAACACAGCTGCTGCAGAATGATCTACGTGTCATTAATCATGTCAGATGATCTGTACGTCACAGACACACCGCTGAGCTGAGAGTGACACTGAGCACGCTCTCTTGACTCCACTGATAAAAACACTTTTTAAAGCAGTGGTTCCTAACTGGTGGGTTACAGGTCTGCTCTGAATGGACCACAAGTGACTCACAAACGTGTCAAGTTTGCAAATAACACACTTAATTTTGAAGTACAGTGAATTCTCAGCACAGGGCTTTTATTTTGAAGTGCTGTTTCCTGCTGTAGAGTGACTGACTAACAGACAGCTGCTTAACAGAGACAGAAAACAAACACAGGTATGATGCCGACACTATGAGGTTTTCACAGTATGATAGAAAATATGACAGATCAAACACTTACCATGAGTCAGAATGATCCTTAAAGGAATGAAAACAAAAGGTTGAACAAAACCTGAAAGAGTAGCCCCGGGCTATTATTTGCTTAAATCACTGAACTCAACAGGCCTGTATTTGAGACAGGCCTTTAATTCTTTTCACACAAAAGTGTTGCTCAGCAAAGATCAGGAGATACAGTCAGACTGTTTATTTCACCCAGAGTGAACAGGACCCTGACAGACTGAAGGAATATGAAGATCTTACAGGGTAATCCAGGAGCAGACACATAATGTGAGCGAGCCAACGACCTGCTTTATACATCCAAAGATCTTCTATAAAAATCAACTGCTTAGCAAAGAGACCAGGCCTCTGATAGAGACAGGCCTTGATTTGTCGGGGCTGGTAAAGAGACGGAGCTTTTAATTGGAGTTTTAAGATAAGTGTAAAAAATCTCCTCTTAGAAAATAACTCAAATAAAGTTATTTACTGTTGCTTTTGTTCCAATAGCATAGATACACAAACGTACACGGTACAGTAACTGTCAACTTTTCTATCACTGTAGAACTGAAAACTGTCTTATTGCTGCAACCTGATGTTGAACACATTAAACTGTGGACCCTCACAGTAACACAGACTGATGGAGGCAGCAGTCGACCAACAGCTCCGTGTTCAGAGATGTTAAATCAGTTTGTAACAGTGCAGTCTGGTTTTGATGCGACAGATCATCTGACGTGATAAATGAGACTTAGATTATGATTCTGCAGCAGCTGTGTGACAGTTTGTCAACAGATGTTTTCATAAGGTTGTTGCTGTTGCTTAAAGGTGGAGCCCGTTCACTGCAGTTCATGAAGACTGTTGAATGTGACAGAAAAGTTTTCTTCATGTGTTCAAAGTGACGCACGGAGAGTGACACGCAGACGATCACCTGTAGGGTCAGGTGTAGACTGAATCACTGTGACGTCGCAGTAACCATGACAATCACCTCTGGGCCGAGAACTGACAGTTGATCTGTGCAGAGAAGTGAAATCAGCAATCTTGTTGATTTCTGTTTCATTTTCAGCTCTGACAGTGACATTTAAAGACATATCGTTAAACACGGCGCTCCGACCGATCTGTGATGATTTTATGTCCTGTGTCACTTTGCTAATGTCTTAAATAAAGCAAATCTACCAGACAGAGAAACTAAACACTGTGATGCTGGGACTCACTGGAAGAGCGGTGTCTTTAAGTTTTAACTTTAACAATACAGAAATGATTATTATAACACATTTAAATAATAAATAAATCTGAACTTAAAAAACTAAAATTCAATTCTTCTTCTTTCCTGAACGACAGGAAGTCTTTTAATGTGAAAGGGAGGAAATGCTGATTGGTCAAACTAACGTGATGGATCAGGAAACCTGTCGTCCTCTCACTGAAATAAAAAGAGAAAATTCAAAATAAAAGCTCAGCTCCACCTGAGGACTTCCTGTCCTCAGTCTGTATCTAAAGACCGATCTTCTCTCTGCATCGTCACAAATCAACATCTAACTGGGCTGGAAATCAGTGAACTGCTCCTTCAACAAACAAACACTTGTTTCTTAATGTTTAGCAGCTGGATTTTCGTCTTTGTATTTTAGCGGTGTGATCAGACCAATCAGTGGTTTTAGGCGTGAAGCTGGGACACAATGGGACCTGCTCTGACTCGGTGTCTCTGTGTTAGACGGGAACAGTTGAGGCTCTGGACCTGGACCTGGACCTGGTGTCCTCTGGTCTAACAGTCACTCCTCCACAGTTTGATAGTTTTGTCGTTTTCCAGAGCGGCTGAGGCGATGATGTTTTCTGTGGGATGACAGGCGGTGGAGATCACCACATCTATGGAGACACAGAGACACGTCAGTCAGGATAACTTCCTGTTATTGACGAGTCCTAAACAAGTTCTCCAGTCACTTCCGAGTCCAAAAACCTCCTCAGAGACATTTACAGGTTCAGATGATGTCCAACATTCATGCAAGGTTAGGACAGAGGACAGGGGACTAGGAGACAAAGTCAGGGATTAGAACCAAAGTCTGAGACTAGAACCAAAGTCTGGGACTAGGGGACAAAGTCAGGGACTAGGAGATAGAGTCAGGGAGTAGGAAACATAGTCTGGAACTAGATGATAATGTCAGGGACTAGAAGATAAAGACAGGGACTAGAAGAGAAACTCAGGCACTAGGAGACAAAGACAGAGACTAGGGCTGCAGTCGAACAGTCTTTTTTGCTTAGGAAGGTTCCTAGCTGAGTGAAATGACCCGGAAGTATTTTAGCGGCCGCCATTATAAGAGCTGTTGGAATTCTCTAAACATTAAGGAAAGGAGGTTCAATGCTTCCTTTCAGATCTCCTTTAGCATAGGATACATCGGACCTTCCTAAGCGATAGGAAAGGAGATAATTCCATTTCACAAGTCATTGCTGCTGCAATATTTACGCACCATTCACAAACTCAAATGATTAGGAAAGAAAAAGCTCAACATGACCAAGAAAGGAAGGAGATCGCCATCTAAGTTACCGCTGTTTATGAAGCATTATACATCTCATGCCACAACTTGTTCATATATATTTTTTCAACTTTCAACATTATGTTAAACTTAGATGCTAACTATGAACGTTTCAGTACTATTGGTGTACCCTCCGTCCACAGCTTTGTTCAACTTGTTTTATAACAGGATAAACAAATATACAAATATACAATGCATCATTTTAATTTTCCGATTTTTGTGTGAATGAGAAAAAACGGAAATCCACGTGCTTTTCCCATTTTCGTCTTCAAATGGCTAATTGATATAGAAATTAAACCAAAACCAGAAACCTACCTGTTTTTCGCCTTTATTGTTAAATCTATATTATCTGCCCTACTGCACCTCAAAACATTGGCATCGGCTATGCTTATGGCCTAGACAGATAGATAGATAGATAGATAGATAGATAGATAGATAGGTAGATAGATAGGTAGATAGACAGATAGATAGATAGATAGATAGATAGATAGGTAGATAGACAGATAGATAGATAGATAGATAGGTAGATAGACAGATAGATAGATAGATAGATAGGTAGATAGATAGATTGATAGATAGACAGATAGATAGATAGATAGATAGATAGATAGAT